TTGATTCGCGCCATTTTTTTTGGCTGTTCGTTTTTATTCGTGGCTGTCGTTTTGAAATTTAATTTCTTTTTTGGTATTTGTTTATTTATTTGTAATTTTATTTTACTCTTTTAAAATTCTAGTTTTATGAAATTAGTATTATGATGACTTACTCATCATAATACTAATTTCTAATACTAAGACTAATACTAATAATATTAGTCTTCTTTGAAATACATTGTTCATATTGTTATTGTTATTATTATCGTTATTATTATTACTATTGTTATTATTATTACTCTTATTGTTACTGTTGTTGTCATTAGCTGTCATTATTATTGTTCACTTTTGTAATTGCTGCAATTGATTTCATAACAGCAATGTGAGTTTTTTTTATTTACTAGTCCCCAATATGAATTATTAAACACATACTCACCATACACACACTCATACGAACATATACATACATACACACACACACACAAATACATATAAACACACACATACATATATGTATATTTATTTTGTATTGTATATTTGTTGTAGTTTTTTATTTACATTTAATTTTTTTATCTTTTTTTCTCTTTTTACAAATATGTTTTTTTGTTTAAATTTTAGGATTATGCTGTTTAACTGTTTAAAAATATTTAATTAATTGATTGATTAATTGATTAATTGTTTTTTATTAATTTATTTAGGTTCATATTTGTCATTCTGTTGATGTTATGTTATAAGTCAGATGTTTATTTACCATTCACAATCATCATCGTCATAATTTTTATTCATCCACCAACCAACCAATCAATCAGTCAATCAATCATTCAATCAATACTCGTCTCAAGAAAAAAATTTTTAGCTTCGTACACTACCAGCAACCATCATACTCTTCAGATTATGGGAACATTATTTTCAATCATCCACTCCTGCCCACTCCTACTCACTCACTCTCCCACTCCTACTCACTCACTCTCTCATTCCTACTCACTCTCTTTCTCATTTCCATTTTTCACTCACTTTCATTATCATCCGTGGCTCATTCTGCGAGCAAATTCAACTTTGCTACATATGGCTAGACGATTTCCATATCGTCATCATCGTCGTCATCGCCATTTTACCATCTCGTTTATTTACTACCATCAGTTGTAATTAACTACTTTGACTGTTTATTATCTTCGATAAATTAACACCAATTACTCAATTTCCTCAATCTTCATGCATGCGTTAATTGATAGATTAATTTATCATTGATTCATGTCATTAGATTAGCATAGTGTGTGTATATATATGTATATATATATATATATATATATATATATATATATATATATATATATATATATATATATATATATAAAATAGATGTTCATTGCATGTGTGTATGTGTACGATATACATACACACACACGCACGCGCACTCAATTTTTTACATGGTTTTTGTTTGAATAAAGTTCAGAGGAATAGATTTTTCTGTCTGATCATTTCCAAATAAAAGGATGAATATAAAATAAGATTATACGGCGCTTCAAGTTATTTTTCACTGTGCAGAAAAAACTCTTTCAAATGAAGAGGCCTGAAAGTTCGAAATGTAAAAATGTTTATGGTTCTCTTTTTTTTCTCTTCTCTTTTCATAACCTCTACGTAGAAAAAGAACAAAATTCGAAATGTGGAAAAATGTGAAATCTCTCTTCCTTTATATATAACTCTCTCTCTCTCTCCTCTCTCTCTCTGTTTCTTCTCTCTGACTGTTAGATAAACAATCTTACAATCCTGCCATTTCCTCTCTGTTCTGTTTATAACTCTCTCTCCTCTCTCTCTCTTTATTCTTGTTTTGTACCTGTTGTTTACAAGTATGGTTTAATTTGTTTAATTCAAGAATAAAAATAAACCAAAGACGTTTATAAATTTGTTGATAAATAAGCAATTTATTTTTCAATTGAAAAGAATAACAAATCACATAGATTAGAAATAATAAGAAAGTATATTGATATTTTCTTCTCACCTCTCTTTCATACTTCAAGATTACGAAATTGCTCACTTACGCGTGTATGTAGCCAGCCTCGAAATAGTAACAATTCACATTATTGAAGGTTCATTTCAAGAAAATAACCTCAAAATAATAATAAAAATAATTGTAATACAATAACGTTAACAATAAAGCATGGAAATAAAAATATTTTACAAAAAATAATAATAATTAACGTAAAAAAAACAACACTGCAAAATTTCAAGCCATGTAAGTTGTAATGTATGTAATAATTGAAAATATAAAGCTCTCAAATTCATTCTGCCTATGTATACGCGCATACACATTTTTTGTATTTGTATGTACGTCTAAATGTATGTATGCGTACGTGTATTCATGAATATGTACGAGTGTGTGCGTGCGTGTATGCGTGTGTGTATAAATAGGAATAAATGTACGTATATACGGATAAACGTTTCAAAGACAATCTGCTAAATTTAAGGTTTCACTTCGTCACATTCAATTGTATCAATTCCACAGTTAACATTTTGCAAGGTGACTCTACTTGATAAGTTACTCCATGACTTAAAAATAGCTAGTCATCCTATCCTGTCTTCTTAATTTTCATCAGAGACAGGCAAATAAAATATCAAATTGTATCGTAAAATAAAGTATGTATGTGTGTATGTATGCATGATGTATGTATGTATGTATGTATGTATGTATGTATGTATGTATGTATGTATGTATGTATGTATGAAACGTTTTGATGAACAAGCCATGGTTAGGCATGCAATCGTACGTATGTATGTATGTATGTATGTCTGTCTGTATTTATGTATGTATTGGTCTGTATTTATGTATAAGGTATGTATGTATGTATGTATATATGTACGTATGTATGTATAACTGTTAACAAATGATAACATATAAAAAGCACTCATGTATATATAAAAATATATTGTTGGTAATAGACCATAATTTTTACAATATTCTACAATATTCGGTAGAATTTATAGAATATTGTATAAAAATATATATAAATATACATGATGTACGGCTTGTGGAGTGGATTACATAGATACAAGACAACAAAAGATCATCATCATAGAAAATGATTATAATAATAATAAATATATTAATAATTTTCATAAATTAATAAATAACAAAAAAAAACCTGTATAATCAAACACGGTGGTAATAATCAATGGTCCCCTATACCAAAAACAAATGTATGCAATAAGCTTCATCATACATGCTCTATATATATATATATATATATATATATATATATATATATATATACATATATGTTGGTAATAGACCATAATTTTTACAATATTCTATAAATTCTACCAAATGTTTGGCAAACATATTAACGCCAAACATTCGGTAGAATTTATAAAATACACACACACACACACACATATATATATATATATATATATATACACACACATATATACATATGTATGTATATATGTATATAATGATATGTAAAACTAGAGAATAATATAAGATAATATGTAGAAAGTGCAAAATAAAAATATAAATGGATAAACAAGATGAGAAGCAATTATATTATAATTGTTGTTATTATTATTATTATTGTTGTTGTTGTTGTTGTTGTACAACTAAAAAACGAAATAATAATAATAACAATGACAATAAAGCCATAATAATGGTTATAGAATGAAAAATATAATTATGGAAAAAGGAAGAAGTAAAATGGTAGTAGGCGGATAGAATAAAGAAATGATACTGCTGGGACATCAGTGCAAAGTTGGGAAGCGTAAAAAAGCTTCTAAAAATTAAAATTAAAAAGTATTTCTGCCAACCAACCAACCATCCAACCAATTATTCAACCAATCATCCAACCAACCAACCAACTATCCAACCAACCGTCTGATCAATCAAATAACCAACTACTCAACTAATCAATCAATCGATTGATCAATTAATCAATCTGACTAAACTAATCATTCAATCAATCATTCAATTATTGAACGAGTCAACCAGTCGGTTCCATGTATAATCGAGAATATTTTGGAATTAAATAAAAGTAAAATTATAATTATAATATAGCTTAATTACAGTAACAACAACAACAATAATTATAATAATAAGGGCAATATAGATATTTCAATGAATACTTCTCATGAATAAAACAAGCAAATAAACAAATAAAACAGAAATAATAATAATAAACGATAATGATAATAAAATGAATAATTCAACTCAATAAAATACTAAAAATAATAATAATAATGAATTTCAACATTTAGGAATGAGGATAATAATAATAATAATGATAAGAGTTATATTAAAATATTCATTTCAACAACTGACCAATCAATCAATCAATTAATCAATCAATCAATCATTCAATTAACCAATCAATCACGCTACAAAAAAAACTTTTTCATTGCAATCAATTAACCAAACGACATTAATTAAATAATCGGTCTCTCACTCTTTCTCACTATTATTATTATTTATTATTATTATTATTACTATCATTATTTTCCTCGTTGAAGAATTCTAAATGTACCCTAATGCTATCATCGTCCAGCTGGTCAGACGAATAGCTTGATAGATTTTGATTGGTCAAACAGTTAGCAACAACGCTAAATTGTTGCTGGCTTCTTGATGTTATTGCTGTTGTTGTTGTTGTCATTGGTGCTGTTGTTGTTGTTGCCTCGAAGAAAGACCCGTACAGATGACGATTATTGTTGTTGTTGTTGTTGAGGTTATGAGGGGGCTGATGGCGTTGTTGTTGGAGGTGGTGGTGGAGGGGATGGTAGGGCGTGTGCCCTAGGTAAGGTCTGTTATGGTCGTAATTTTGAAGTTATTAATGTATTGATGTCATTGTTAATGTTATTGATGATATTAAAAATGTAATGATGCTATTAAAACAAACAAGGAACAACAACAACAATAATAATAATAACAACAATGAATAATAACAATAACAAACAGCAACGACAACAATAATGACAATAATAATAACAACAACAACAGCAATAGCAAAACATACACAGACACCTCAAAAAAAAACCTACATAGACGAGGCCTTATACTTCATCATCATCATCATAGCTGCCCTTTCTCTCTCGCCACCATCAGCATCTCCACTGCTTTTTGCCGCGACTACATTACCATCGTCGCCTCCTTCTCTGCCACCATCATTATCATTACCACCATCACCAACACCACCACCATCATCATCATCATCATTACGTCTAACGACATCGTCAATACTACTAGCAACATTCATAATGTTTATCACATTATCACTCCTATCGTTGTTATTATTATTATTATCATTATTATTGTTAGTAGTAGTAGTAGGATGTTTATCAGCGTTATTACTACTATTATTAATGTTATTATTGTTGTTATTGTTGTTGACCCGATTAACGCCTATTGGCCGGTGACTTGACACGGTTAATCCGCAGTTGGGTAAGGCCTTGGATGCCGTTGTCGAAAGTGTGAACCTGGAAAATTCTGAAGGCGATTCCATGTAGAATGCGTGTCCGTGCTCGCTGAATATGCATGATACTATCCCACTGTATGTGTGTGTGTGTGTTTATTTCGGTTAAGTGTGATTGTATGTACCTGCTGTATACGAATTTTTATGTATGTGTTTGTTTTGTTTGTTGTTCTCAGCGAACAAGCCGACCAATCAATCAGCAAACCAATTGATTTACCAGCCAACCAACTAACCATTCAACGAATCAACCAACCAACCAACCAACCAATCAATCAATCAATTAACCAGCCAGTCAACCAGTCAGCAAACAAACAAACAAACAAACCAACTAACACGATGTTATCCTTCCTGATGCATTCAACTTTCAGCTGCCTCCTCAACAATGGATACGTGAAAATATGCGCCTCGCCCAGGTTTGTCAAGCAAGTAAGGCAGTATTCAGAGTATTTAGGATCTACATTTGCGGAAAGCAGATTACGTGTCAATGATTCACTCATTCATTCATACACTCATTCATTCATACCCTCATTCGTTCATGCACTCATTCGTTCATACACTCATTCATTCATTCACTCATTCGTTCATGCACTCATTCATTCATACACTCATTCATTCATAAACTCATTCATTCATTCAAAATATTTATTAATGTAATTAACAAAAGCGATTTATAAGAGATCATTCATGCATTCACTCAATTGTTTATTCATTCACTCAAACATTCGTCTACACATTCATACAACTATTCATTCATCATACACTCACTCACTCACTCACCGGATTTACTGATGTAATTGACGAAGGCAGTCCTCCTTATCTTAGAACCTTCATGAGCGGTCAACTTAAACTTCTCCTTAGCTGATAAACTTGGTAGGGTAAATATCTGTCCATAATTAATAATTATAACTAATTAATCAATTTACTAGTAAATAAATTAATTAATCAATTAATTAATTAATTAATATATTAAATAATTATACGGCTAAATAAGTGAAACCAACAAAAACAGTTTACTTTAATCTGTTCTTCAGAGCAGATGACGACAGAATGCGTTTGATTGGTCAGCTGGTCAGGCACTTTTGAAATCTTAAAATTTGATTGGTCGGCAGGTTGTCCATTCTTGTCGATGACGTTTATGCTTACCACGGGAGCGTGGTGCCGGAGGTGAATCTCTTTTGCTATTGGTTGAAAGAAAAATTGAAATAATCACATTGTCAGCTAAAAATAAACCAATCAATAATTAAAAAAACTAATCAATCCATCAACCAATAAATCCATCAACTAACCAATCAATTATTAATCAATCATTGATCAATCAATCAACCAACCATTCAACCAATCAATCAACCAACCTAACAAACTCTGAACTTCATCATCCTTCCTCTTGTCATCATCAGGGATTGTGATCTGGTAGATGTAGACGGTGCCTGCGTTTGTGCCCGCCCAGAGGGAGGGGCTATGCGAATGACCTTCAATTTCATTGGATGATATAAATAGCAACATTTTGATTGCTTCATATACACAAATAAATGTAATAACAATGCAAAGAGACTCAAGTACCTTTTTTTCATAAAAGTATGAAACCAATAACAAATAGGGACATTTTTGATTGGTTGATGCTAACAGCCAATTTCTTTACAATTTTTGATTGGCTGATACAGGAAGAAAATTTTTTTGCGAATCTGATTAGCTGATAAAGATAGCGAAATAGTTTGTCTGTGAATGTGATTGGCTGACATAAACAGCAACATTTTAATTGTGATTACATTGAAAAATTAATTTAGGAAAAAAAGTTGCCTCAGTTTAACTGGTTAATTTAGACCAACGTCAGGATAAGCAAACAACAACAACGACAACAACAAAACGATAACATCAAAACTACATCAACATCGAAAACAAAACAACAACAACCTACCACTGATTAGGAATGTGTCGGCAAAATATAGAACTTTGACGATGGACCCACTGACGTCATCTGGGGACCTGGCTTCGACGGCCCTCTCCACGGGTTTTGGTACGTCGAGGTCGATCAACCCGGAACTGTTGTTAGTGATGGTCGGCTGCTGTTGTTGTTGGTTCTTTGGTGGGGAAGATCTGAAAATATTATTTTGCCTATGTTTTCGTTTTGTTGCTAGCATTGTCACGGTTGTTTTAGTTGTTGTATTGATGGTTGCAATCGTGATGTGACGTGTTAAACTGGAGTTCGAGTTTCTTTCTATTTTCAATTTGATAAGATGGAGAGAAACGACGGATAATTTTCATCCTTATGAACAAGCAACAGTGAAATAAAACAGGTAAAAATTTTAAAATAGAAAGAGAAAACAAAGAACAAAAAATAAAACTAAGAACTAAAAAAAAATGCCTCTGACATGTTAGCGTTGATGTTCGTTATGGATTTCTTGTGCCTCTCCGATCTACGACTCCTCAGACGACGAAATGATTCCCTTAGGGACTTTTTGAATGACTTCCGCCTCGACATGCCCTGGTCACATGACCCGGAAATATCTGTGATGGTCACGTGGTGTGTAAGTTAAACACCACCACCACTACTACTATTACTAATAATATAAATGAAAACAACAACACTGTTAACCTCAACCGCAATGTATTTTTGCAAGCAGATGGTTGTGTAAAGAGTGAACATGTACTGTTATGCATTCAAGTACGTATTATCATGCATTGAATGAATGATTGAATGGATGAATGAATAAATGAGTGAATTAATCAATCAATCAATCAACGAATCAATCAGTCAGTCTATCATCAATCAACTAACTAACCAAATAAACACCAATCAGCCAACCAATCAATCAGTCAACCAATCAATCAACCAGCCAATCAATCCCTCGAAGAACCAACCGTTAGGATTCAAGGTGCACCTCAGATCAACAAACTTCCTCTGCTGATAATCAACCAATCCGAAACCGTGAGCTGTGCCAACTGCTACTCTATACATTAATCAACAATTAAATCATTAATTGATAATAATTGAATGATTAAATGATTAATTAATTAAGAAAAAAGTGATTCTTAACACAAAAAAACAAAACATTTACTTGAATCAACCACCTACAACACAACGCTTTTTTATTATTTAGTTCCAGCATTAAATAGGCTTAAATAACAGATGATATTTATAGAGGATTACTTCGTTTCAACAGTTCTAACTAAGTCAAGCAAAAAAAACACTGAAAATTGAACTAACAGCTGCCAATCAGATTGCAAGCAGACAGCTGTGCAAGCAGCCGGTGGGTGCACCTGCACCAAGCAGCTGGGCTGAAATCCGGCTGCTAACTTCAACTGACCTTTTCTCAAGATCATGGTCTCGTGACCTTTCCAGACAAAATGGCGGTCCAGTAAATTGAGTCGGACGGGTTTTAGATCTACCTCGCATTCGACTAGTCCTTTGGGGGTAGTTTCGAACTTGGAGACAATCAGCTGACCAGCTGTTCCAGCTACGACTAACGTTTGATGCTGTTTGCTGAAGTCCAATTTTCGAACTGCAAGTCGCGGATCATCGCTGTATGGGTCGTATGTCCCAACCTGGTTCATGCCAGTGGTTGGTTGATTAGTTAAGTTGGTTGGTTTGACGGTAAAGTTGATGTGCTTTTTTTAATTGTTTTTATTTTAAATAATTTTTACCATTAAACGTGAAAAGTGTGTGGAGACATCTAATATGCTGATGTATCTGGCTGATTGGTGGATAATATTTAACTTGTGGTGAAGTCACAGATTCATTTCATAGATTATATTCCAAAATGTTATAAAAACAAATCAGAATCAAACATTGCAATATGAAAAACCTTCTTGAAAGGGGGCCAGGCATCATCATCATCACCACCATCATCATCATCATCATCGTGAGCAGGCAGTAATGATGACGATGATTCGAAAATGATGGTGGAATCATATTTAATGATTAGGCTGATGTCAATGGACGACACGTCCCAGAACATAACGGTTCCGTCTTCATGTCTGGACAGTCAAATATAAAGATCACCATCGGCACCGCCAGCATCATCATCATCATCGCCATTGTCGTCAGCATCATTATCAGTGTTATCATCGACGTCATAGTCACTATGATTACATCCACCACCATCATCATCATCACCATCATCGTCGTCATCATCAATATTTTCACTATCCTCATTCCGTTATTGTTTAATAATAGAGTAATATTATCATCATCATTCATCATTGTTATCATTTTATCAGCAGATACAAATAAGACGAAGAGTGCAAAACAAACGGACAAACAAACAAATTAATAATACAAGCAACACAAAACGAGACACATAGAAAGAAACGGAGACAAAAAATATGAAGAAAAAAACATGGCTTGAACTGACCCAGTTATTAAGATGTCGTGACCCACTTTAAGGTCAGCATTGTAGTCAGTTCCTCCTCTGATTGGCCATGGCTGAGTGTTAATTTTTTTTTTTAGAAACTAATTTAACCAATAAATAAACAAATAAGTTAATTGATAAGAAAATAAATTATTTATTTAAACGATTGATATAATAAAATATATTGATGTAATTACCAATTAATTAAGGAAGCGACTAATTAAAACAGGTTTTTACTAAACTAAAATAAATCATTAAATTAAAACCTTGTACATCATAAACAAAGAAACAGACAGACAGACAAAAAAACGAACAAAACAGACAGACAGACAAGCAAACCAAACAAACAAACAAACATTTCTACTATATTTATTCCCACACTGTTTGTCACCAATTCTCTTGAGTTCACCATAAAATCCATCATCAACGTCATCAATGTGGAGTGAGCAAGTAATGGCACTGGAGTGCAGGGTGGAAAGATAGGGGAGTTTGTAAGGGAGCCATGGATCTGTTGTCAGGTCTATAGCTACTAATTCCTCTTCGGTAAGTACCAACAGGCAAAATGGTCTGTCTGTGTGTATGTATGTGTGTGTATATGCATGTGTGTGTTTGAGTGTGTGAGTGTATATGTGCGTCTGTGTGTGTGAGTATATCGAGTATGTGTGTCTGTGTGAGGGTATGTGTTTGTGTGAGGTGCGTCTATGTGTGAGCATATTGAGTATATGTATGTGTGTGTGTCTGTGTGAGTGTATTTATGGTTTATGAAGACGATTGTTATCGTCATCATCATCCTAACCATCATTATCGTCATCACTGTCATCATTACTCCCATCCAGGACGACAAAATCCATGATCTTGGACGCGAAATCGAAACAGCAGCAGACGTTATTTGTCGTTGTTGCGGTTGCAGTTGCCGCTGCGGTTGATGTGGTTGCCGCGTTGCAGCGCGAGACAGTAACGACGTTGTGGTCACCGTAACTACTTCGCGGCATACCTCCACTGTATATCATCAAGCTATCATTCCTATGAAGGTGATGACAAGGATGAAGAGGATGTTGATAATTTGCGTAGGATTGATAGACAGACAGACAGATAGATAGATAGATAGATAGATAGATAGATAGATAGATAGATAGATAGATAGATAGATAGATAAATAGATAGATAGATAGAGAGATAGACAGAGACAGATAAACAAATAGATAGACACAAAACGTTAAACAAAAACAAAACAATGATGATATGTGTAGAATGATGATATAGAATGATATCGAATGATATAACGAGATATCTATCATATCTACCTATCACGGATGGCTTTCCATAATATTTTGGTTATTGCTTTGCACGGCGAAGGCCCTAAAAAAACATCAATAATAACAATAAAAGTAATTATAACAATAAAAAAAATAATATTCTAACCGTAAGGCATTGTGATACTACAATTATTATTATTATTATTAATGTTATTAACATTAGACACATCAATCTCGTTGCTTCCCAAGTCACTGATGTAGTTACTGTTAACCATACTAGAATTACTGTTATCAATACTACTATGGTGGCTACCGATCAAATTACTACTATTATAAATATTATTATTTTTTATATTATTATTACTATTATTATTATTATTATTATTATTATTATTATTATTATTATGGAGGTTCGTCCGCCAGACAGCGTAGGAACCGTCGGAATGACTGCAGACGAACTCCTCGCCAGATCTATGGTAGGCCAAGGATTCTATTTGCTTGAAAAATTAATTCAGAAGAAAAAAAGAGAACGTAAATGGGGTGAATCTGAATTTTAAAAAAAACGAATTAAACGTCGTTTTTTAATCATTATTTTTGATGTAGAGAGAAAAAGAGAGAGAGAGATAAAGAGAGAGATAGATATAGAGAGAAAGATATATATATATATATATATATATATATATATATATATATATATATATATATATATATAGAGAGAGAGAGAGAGAGAGAGAGAGAGAGAGAGAGAGAGAAGAAGTAAATACAAACACAAAATTCAAACATAGAACAAAGCAAAAGAAACAAGAAATTACTACTACAACAATATACATTACTACCGCTACTACATTGCTACAACTACTATGATTACTACTGCTACTACTACTACTACAACTACTACTACAAATTAGCAGCAATACCATCACTACAAAAATGAAATTATATTGAATATAAATAAACCTGATTAGAGTGAAAATATTCAAGGCATTTCTTATGGGCCGTATCATATAGCAGCATTAAACCTCTGTTAAAGCCCATAAGAATCTGAAATCAATTAAGTTTAACAAAAAAAATGTTTCCCCACGCATATATCTATGTATGTATAAACGTGTGCGTGAGTGTGTTTGTGAGTGAGTGTGTGTGTGTGTGTATTTTATCCATAGTTAATATTGTTATTATTGTAATTACGAATAATTATAAATTATTATATATATATATATATATATAAATAATATACATATACTATTTGTGTATTGTGATTTTAAATGCAAGCATTTTAGGTTTAAGAATGTGTGTATGATATATAATATACATTTTTACGTCTGTCTATGTAACTGTGTGTATGTTGTTTGTTCGTACGCATGTATGTATGCGCGTATTTTTAAGCGTACGTTTGTTTGTATGTTTGTATGTATGTTTGTATGTATGTATGTTTGTATGTATGTTTGTATGTACGTTTGTTTGTCTGTGTGAAATGCGTGCCCGCGTTCATTGATTCGTAGCTTTGGGAATAATATGAATACTAAAAAGACGCCAAGTTCAGTTGAAGAACATGGAAGAAGAAGAAAGCATATTTTTATGGACTGAAAATTACAATTACAAGTGATTAGCAATAGTAAAATTAAAATTGAACTAAATTAAATTAAATTAAATTATAAATGGCAATTTTTTTAAGTTAAATCCGATTTCAACTATTCACCATACTCTGTGTATGAGTTGTCTGCTGTAATTATAAATTGTAAACTTTCGCATGTAGGTTGTGTGCGTGCGTGTGTGTAAATGTGTTTCTGATGTTTTTGAAGTTTAAAGAGTTCATGTTATACTGTGTGTCATTATTCAAAGTCTGTTTGGCACAGTCATTCATTGGTGAAAGTGTCAATCATTCATCCATTAATTTACTCATTCACCAGCTATTCATCCATCCATCCATCCATTCATTCATTCATTCATTCATTCACTCATTCATTCATGGAGACCTGATGATGATGGCATGGATGTTGGAGAATGCTCTGAACACATCCCTGGTTCAACCTCCTCACCTCATCTGGAATGCTGTTAGGTGATTGGATGGTGACGTGATGACGTCACATCATGATGATGATGATGATGATGATGATGATGACGTTACGCTATGGCGTCAATGATAATAATAATTAATAATAATAACAATAATTAGAATTATAATAATAATAATGATAATAAATGAAGATGATGACGACAGTGATTATGTTACAAGGATGAAAACGACGACGAAGATGATGACGACGACGACGATGTTGAAGATGATGTAATGATAATAACATGAACATAGCTGAAAATAACTAGCCTATTCAGATAACAGTAGAAAAGAAATATTACAGTTAATAACAAATGACAACAACAACAACAACAACAATAATAATAATAACAACAATAATAACAATAGCAACAAACACTACAACAACATTAACCTCTGCATTAAATTCTCCCTGTATATAATCTGATCTGACAGTTTGAAGTTCACCAAAGACACCGAATAGATGTGACCATTTTCTGATCCAATGTACAAAAAATCATGATCTTTGGATAAGCAGAATGAAGATGGCTGCTGTATTCTGATTAAGATATGATAGATAACGTTATCAGTATATTTTTGAAAAAAAAACATAATACACCCAACACACACACACACACACACAAAACAAACAATCAAACAAACATTTAAAGTTGAGATTTTCAACTGTAGTTGTACTTGCTGTATGCACGAATGTGGAGATAACATTCATCCAATAACAATCAAATAAATACATGGAAAAGAAGATATAGGAAAACAGATAGGAAAAAAAGATGTAGAGAGAGAGAGAGAAAGAGAGAGGAGAGAGAGAGAGAAAATGAAAACAGAATGAATGAACAGATAAAAAAACCAAAAAAGATTGATTGAATGAACAAATGAATGAACAAATGAATGAACAAATGAATGAACAAATGAAAGAACGAATGAAAGAACGAATGAAAGAACGGTTGAATGAACGAATGAATGAACAAATGAAAGAACGATTGAATGAATGAATGAAAGTAATTTACAAACCAGATATAAATCAAACATCTAGCCAGAGCTCTCATAAACATGAACATAAACAAAGGAAAACTAAACCATTCCTAGCTACCATACCATCATCAACAAAATCACATTAGCAAATGCATAAATACCATATATAAACATGGCTTAAATAACAACCAAACAAAAAATAAATAATAACACAGAGAGAGAGAAAGAGAGAGAGAGAGAGAGAGAGAGAGAGAGAGAGAGAGAGAGAGAGACAGACAACATAAGCTCACCTACTAGCCAGCTCAATACTTTTAACTTCAGTCAGTGTAGTAGTAGTAGTGGTAGTAGAGTATTTTTTTACTGTTGCTGCTGTTGTTGTTACTGCAGACTGTGATGATGGCGATGATGATTTTTTTGATGATGATGTTGTTGTTGCGGTGGTGGTTGTAGTTGCGTTGTTGCTCGTTGATGCCAACTCCCATAGATATAGTTTTTTATCATTGCAGTATGTTATCAGGTTTCCCTGTTCATGATTGGATATGATGATGTTGGATGAGAGATGATATAAAATGACATTTTGGATATAATGACGTTTTGGAGATGATGATGAAGATGATAATGATGAAGACGATACACACACACCCACAGACACACACACACACACACATATACACGTACACACAATAGGTAGTGTAAGTGGATACAATAACCTTCTAGCAGACGATGATAAGGATGATGATAACGTTGGATGATGATGACGTTGTTAGTAATGTTGACGATGATGGTGATGTGAGAATTTCATGGTGATGATGATCAATTTATTAGTAATCAACAGCAACCACAAAAATTAATGATGATACTGCCTACTACTCTTACTACTACTACTACTACTACAAATAACAATAATAATAGTATTATCATCATCAGCTATCATCGTCATCATCAGCGTGCTATTATCATTATCATCGTGCTATCATCATCATCATCAACAACATCATGCTATCATCATCGTCGTCGTCGTCGTCCTCTTCAATTTTTCAAACTGACAGTCGGGTACATGAGTGATAATTCATCTAAATATTTTGTCATTTACTGATACATTCCAACATTCATTCATTCATTCATTCATTCATACATTTATTTATAAAATAATTCAGTTACTTATGAAATAATTCATTCACTTGTAAAATAGTTCATTCCTTAATTCATTCATTCATTCATTAGTTTTAAACAATTACTCTTTTCTTCATTCATTCATTCGCTCATTTATTCATTCATTGATTAATTTATAAAACTAACTATTCATCCATAGCCTCAACTATTTATGCAATATTTCAGTCATTCATTCATCTATCAGTCAATCAATCAACCAGCCAATCAAACAAACACACCAATCTACTAATGAATGAATGAATCAATCAATCAATCAATCAATCAATCAATCAACCAACCAATCATTAAAAATAACATCCAATTGAAAAAGTATTTCCAATAAAAACAATTGTAGCAACCTTTACAAACTAAATCACTACAGAATACATGTGCATGCATGCATATGCATACATACATACACATACATGCACACACACACACACAGTTGTGTAGTACAAGTGGTTTAGTCTACTTATGTTGCCCCAATAACAAACATTGCTAGTGTTGTTGTAGTTGCTATAAGAGCCATTAAACAACATTAAGTTAGCAATTAATATGTGACTAACTTAAATAACACAAGGCTCCAATAAGAAATAATAATAATAATAAAAAAATAATAACAATAAATAATAATATTCATCATAAAATAATAAAAACCTGGCAAAATATTGAAATAAACATACAAAAAACATAAGAACAAATTACACAGATGCCATATAAGTAGGTGTGAAACCAAACATACAATACAAAAAATCAAAAAGAAGTTCTATCAAGAATAACTTTCCAACTAATAAAATGAAAAAAAAAAGAAAAATATTTTAAAATGATAACAAATGTATCAACGTTAACAAACCAAACCACCATCAAAGAACATTAAGGATGGTCTGGTCTACTTGTGTTGACCCAACAACAAGCAGGTTAGTGTTGTTGTTGTAGTTGTTATAGGAACCACTAAACGTTAAGTTAACAATTGATGTTTGAATAACCTAACTAACACAAGGTTCCATTGGGCTAAATTGTTGGTAAAATCGCTGGTTGTGGTAGTAGTAGTAGTAGTAGTAGTAGTAGTAGTAGTAGTAGTAGTAGTAGTGGTGGTGGTTGTAGTAGTAACATTAGCAACAACAAAAGTAGTATTACTCCTAATATTAAAACCACAATTTATATAAAATTCATATAAATAGCATTATCTATAAGTATAATGAGAATGTATATGTGTGTATGTATGAATGTGTGTATGTATGCCTGGTGCATGAATGTATGCATGTATTTATATAGGTGAATGCATGCATACATGTGTATGGGTATAAGTAATGTGTATGAGATAGAATTTCATATTTATTTAATCTAATTTAATAAAAATCACCAACAAAAATTTTTATTTATTGAAAATATGATAAAATGTTGAAAGAGATAAATTATTCTATCAGTGATTTAAGTAAAAATATATCACACATACTAAAAGTTAATTTCTCTCTCTCTCTCCATCTATCTCTCCATCTATCCATCCATCCACCCATCCATTTATCCATCCATCCATTCATCTTGCTCTCTCTCTTATTATCATATTATCAACAAAATCATCTCTCTCTCTCCTCTCTCTTTCTTTCTCTTCTTCTGTCTATATTTTTTTCTCTTTCATTACCACCAAAATCATCATCATCATCGCCACCACCATCATCATCATCATCATCATCATCCAATAGCAGTAGCAGTACCATTCTGCATAGCATACTTAATATAAATTCAAAACACACTCAAAGAGATCAAATAGAAATATTAACAAACTGGCTCACAGCAACAAGTAGCACTACAAACCTACCAACACGCACACACAAACATACACATACAAATAAGATCACACATTGATCATACATACACACACAAATAAGATCACGCACATACACACATATAGGAATAAACATATACAAACAAATTAATAAACACACGCGCACACAACACACACACACACACACAATTATATATTAAAATTAAACACACACACACCACATACACATAAACTATTGAACATATACATCCAAACTAATAAACATACACAGATAGAACACAAGATACAAAACAAAATTAAACAAAGAGAAGATTAAGAAAAATTATAACAAAAAAACATACACACAAACAAACATGCAAAGGAATACACACACACACACAAAAAACATACACACAAACACACATGCAAAGGAATACACAAACACACAAACAAACACATACAAACAAACGTACACATACAAACATACCTGCCTGTATTGAAACATCATCTTTATGCTCTGCACAGAACTGAACACCAGGGCCTCCATAACTGTCATAGATAAAAAAATTATAATTTAAGCTAAACTTTAACTAATCTTTCATATTTCAAATAATTAATTAATTTTAATTTACATGAAAAAGTCAATTAATCTTCATTTAAAAAGTCCTCTTCCATTTTAGTTTAGACAAGAAAAAGTGGTATTATGAAAAAATAATATCAATATTAAATAATATTAATCATCACCTTATGACGACAAAAATATAAAAATTAATTTTCAAATTAATATAATTGAAATTAATATGATATAATTAATATAAACGTATGACACTAACATTCTGATATAGCCATCTTTAGTGCCAATAGCAAACATATCAAGGGATGGGTTATAATCCAGGGCATTAGACTTGTGTGGTAGGCCATACTCTGTGCACTGAAATTAGTAATTTATATTAAATTAGGCATCTGTTATTTTATTAACAAAGTACATGCGACCATTTAATTAGATATTATTTCCATTATTTATTAAAATTTTGTAATGTGGTAAAATAAATTGTTCAAAAAATTATATCAAATAAATAAGATCATCAAGGAAGATTGAAATTTAAAAATAATAAATTAATTTTATTTAATAGGATCTTTTAAAAATATTATTTTTTAATTTTAAAATTCACCTTTTGGTACTTGAAAAGTTCCCTTTGCAATCTTAGCCTCGCTTCACTTTCTTTATTTTCCGATTTTTTAATCCCAAACTTTCTCAACATAGATTCCATTTTAAAAACTTTTTTCAACTCCGTAGAATGATAAAAAAAAATCAATTTTCTAGCTTAATTATATTTACTTGTGTTTAATTTAGTTTAGTTTTTAGTTTAGTAGACTTTACACTACAGTTTACAGTTTTACACAGTATTACTAACTACTAAAACTAAAGTTACTAACTTCTTAAAAAACTAACTGGAACTAATCTAATAAGTAAAATTTTAAAAACATGAATTAAAAATTAAGCAACTTATTATATTATCCTCGAAATAAAAAATATCAATTTATTTTATTTTTTAATCATTTTTATTAAAAAAAATTTTTCGAAAAGTACAAAAATCTTTCGCAACCATCGGCCGGAAGTAAACAGGTTTTTGTTATTGTCGGTTTGGTGCGTTCAATTTCTTCCAACACATTTCCAAAAAACGTAGCAAATATGTTGCCAGAGGAAATGAAAAATTCTGTAAATATTCTATTATTAACTAATTATTAAGTAATTAATCATTTAATTAATAGTTCATTTATTAACATGTATAAAAATAGACGGAGCATATGTATGGTTTTGTACATAATATTTAAATTTATATCAATGAATTTAGCTTGTGTAACGCTATTCCCGCAATGTTCATCAGCATATTCCACAATTTCGATTTTTGAACATGTGATCAAAATAGGGAACTGCGTACTGCCTCTTAGTAGTGAGTCCAAAGTATAATTTTTTAACGTCACTATGATACAGTAATATAGTTAATATAATAGAATAATAAAAACTATTATATTATAATTATATTTGCTCCAACCAATAGATGAAGTTCTTGAAATATCGGCAGTTTTCAAAAACAATTCAAATAGAGAAGTTTTTCCATTGGTCACTTTCAAACGAATTCAAACAGTTTTCGCCGGGAAGTTTTTTTGTAAAGTATCTACCATCTCAAAACTCCTCAAAGGTAAGTTCTTTTTTGTTATTCTATAAGAAAAAAAAATCAATTTTCGACGATTCTACCTGACCGCATCAATAAATTTGCAGTATGCAATGATTTTTTAAATTCGGGAATGCTTATGACATAGGTCCTAATATAAAGAGCCGGAGTGATTTGACGTGGGAAAGAGTGAAGTGTCCGTTGCCGCATGTACCGCCCACCGTCCATAACTGCCCCATCCTCAAGAATGAATCGAGGTATTCATTTTTTGGACGTTTTCTTCTCCTATAATCGATTGATATTTTTCGGTTAAAAAACTTATATTTTATTTCCAATTTTAAATTATTTTGTGTAACCGCTAATTTCAATTTTGCGAAATTCCCAAATTACCAAATTACTTAAAAATCAGATCGAATTGGTAATTTCTTACTCTCGTAACCTCTTGCTGACAGTTCCACTAACTTTTGGAAACTACATTGGCCCGCTTCCACAGAACCATCCACAGTCACTACAGCTACCACAACAACAATGCCACTCACAACCACTGCAGCCACTAGAGCTACCACAACAATGTCATCCAAAACCAAATAAACAAGATTTATATGCATATAATCAATAAACTTCTAGCGAACAAAATGCTTCTCCATTTAATCAACCATCTGTCTCTCTCTCTCTCTCTCTCTTTCACTTCCAACGTATTGTCCAGTGCAACTAAAACCACCAATTGTTGCGATGAATGATTGGATGAAATGATTCAATATCCCCAAATATATTTCTAATTAAATTTACCGAAAACGAATTCTGAACAGCTTAGAATGATTGTAGTAAGTTAAAAATGTATTTAACGATTTATGATGGTGCTGTATATTTGCATAATGGATTTTTTTTCATCAAATTTGCAAATGTACACGTCCAAAACAAATGTTGTATAATATTGCCTAAATGAATGTCACATTTCTACGAAATTTCCGTTGGGATTTCTTTTTTACCGGTGTTTGAATGTACAAGTATGCAATATGCATATATAGAATAGTATTAATCAGAGAGCCTGAGTTTGGAGAAATTTAGTTGTAAATGTTTAATGTTCAGTTTACATTAAGAAAAATTTTTTCTAAGATTTATACTATAGAAACAAACGTGTTGAGCCACTATAAGCTTTGTAAAAATAAAAATTATTAAGCTGTCTAGTACAGAATCAGTTTTTTTTTAAATTTTTTGTCGTTAATTTCTCAAACACAAATTTTACTTGTGTTAAAATAGTTTAAACCACAAACGCAATTTTTCTATTTCAAACGTTAATTTTCATGCATCTCTAATAATGTGATAGCAGCTTTATCTACTATAAATGAAAAAATTCTGTATCATCTCTTATCTATGTGAACATTTTTTGTCACATTAAAACTTGTATAAATAAATAAGAGTCAGAAATTGTGTGATTGTGTGCGTGTTTGTGTCCGCGCCTGTATGCCTGTGTCTGTGTGATGTGTGTGCGCACGTGTGGTGTGTGAATGTGCGTGTGATTCAGATGCGTGAAGTGGAGCCACGATAGGATATTTTTGAAGATTTAACAGATTTAATTCTTCTCAGTTTAGGTCGTTGGCCTGTGAAATTTTTAATAAAGTTATCGTTATCCAAAATTTCTTTTGTTGTTGTTGTAAAGGTTAAAGGTTAAGAGGTTAAAATTAAAATTTTTTTCCTCATCAAGATATAAGAAGATAAAAATGGAAAAAAACTTTGCTGGAACCTTTCCTTGTTCTTTTTGAATGCTTGCCCGTACTGTGATGTTGACCTACAGGCATTTGTGCTGTTTTTTGATCTTCTTTTGAACCGCTTGACAAACCAAAAGCTTGAGATATCGTTATACCTTGAAATTGTTTTTCGACATTGTAAATAACTGTTTAGCTCGTTGATGTTAGTGCAATCAAAATATTCCGAATGATTTATAGTGAAGACGAAATTGTTTCGCAACAAGCAATTGAAAATCAAGCTATTAAATATCTTATGATATTCAACTGTAGGCCAAATTCGTTTTAATTAGGCTGAACATTATTTGAAAATGTGAAATGTGTAGGTATTAAAGAAAGCTGTTTCCAAGTTTGAAATATTTATTTTTGAAAAAAAATTGCAAACTAGATCCGCCAATTTTGCGTGCTCTATTTGATTGAAATGTCAAAAGTTAGATGGATCGATTGCATAGCAGAAAAGTTTCACCGAAAAAATGTTGAAACTGTTATTAAAGATAGCCAGGATTTGTTTGCGATTTGTTTCAGTTGAGGTCATAGGATGTTTTATAAAGATTTTGATGTTTCGATTTTGTAAGTTCTTTCACTCGAGATCAAAATTTTTTTTAAATTACTGACCTAACTCAATTTCCTAACACAAAGTTCAGTAAAGTTGTTTAAAACATCCAAAAATAATGATTAATTAATTAAAAATAATTATCAATCACATATCACTCATATATAACGTATAGCTGAATATAAATAAACATTTAACAGCGTAAATTTCAATGACAAAAATATTTACTCATACAGCAGACCTTTATTTTGTAGCAGGTAAAAAGATCCCATGGAAAGGAATGCCAGGAGAAATAAACATGCCAATGCAATCATTATCGATCGTTTCTTACTCAAAGCAGGTTTGGGTTTTTCATTTTCACCGTCTTGCGTTACTTCCTCGTTCGTTGTTGTTTGTTCTTTTACGTTGGGATTTGGGTCGGGACCTGTTGTCGTGTCAAATTTAGCTTGGGAACAATTTCATTTGGTAAACATAATTTTCTGAATATTCATTTGACAGTAACTACTTTAGTTTCAGTTCAGTCTAAAAGAATTTAAGAAGCATGTTTATTTGTGATATTTTAGATTGTTTCATACATACGTACGTTGTGCGGTACATACATAGATATTTGAGGCAAGTGCTAATTGGGAATTTTCAACTTTACTAGCACAAAGGACCATTTTCAATTAAACTTTTATTTTGAAAGTATTTTGAAATTATTTTTGTTTTATTTTGATAGTTCAAATACGCATAATTGTCAATACATTAGTTAAGCTTGTGAAATTTCTTAAAAAACAATAATGAAAATAAGTTTTGTTAGGTTTATTATTTATTAGATCTGTAGCTGCTGATTGCATCATAAAATTTTTTGTAGAATTTTATTCATGGTTGTTACTGCTCGTTTTCATAGTTGTCTTGGGGGTTATTTGTATGCGAATGGGTTTCAACATTAGTGATCATCGTGGTTACATATTTCAATATCGTAACAGCCATCAATCAAATTCTTACTAACTGTCACTAAAAGTGATCGAGGCCTCTTCAGAATACTTTATAAAAACCCCTTCAGTACCCCACACCTTGGTACCTTTAAAATTCCACAGACATTTGAAAATGGGTCCGTCAATATTGTTAGCTTTTGCCTGGACTATAACGTTATACTTTAGAGTTTTGCTCGTCGGTTGCCTCGTATTTCTTCCTATCTCCTTGTAACCATTTGAGACGATCATCTCATTCAGCTGCGACTGGTCTCCCGTCGCAACCTCTAAGGTGCAGGTCACTAATATCGAATCGCCTTCTCGTACATTTGATTTCGGCGACAGTGTGATGGTCAGAGGCTGAACTGGCAAGCATTGTAATTTTTGATAATTTTTCGATTAATTTTTAATTAATTTTAATTTAATTTCACTATAATTTAGCGATGGTATAAAAGTTCGATACAACAAAGAATAATATATTAACAAAAGATAGTAGTTAGGAACGGTTACAGGTATTATATTCATGTATTTTCATGCATGTCATTCGACTTACTTCTCATATAGAGCATGACAACATCGGTGTGGTCACGCACGTAGAATCCCATCTTCATATAATTTCTTAAATTTGGTCAAATTAGTAATGAAATTTACAAGTATTACTCGTGTTACTTTGATACTATTATGTTAATTTTCACATTTTTAACCCTAGCCATCAGTATTTCATCAAAACACTCGCAGACATACAAACAGGTTATATTTTGTATATTTATACAAAGACAAACATACACACAAACAAACAATCACACACACAAACACACACACTTTATATACTTTGTATGCGTACCAAACAAACAAACACATGCAGTGGCAGATTCAAAATTTTTCAGTGGGTAGGTGGGTGTGATTTCAAAATTATTGTTAAGCTGGAGACCTTTTGTTGCTTATTTCCGCTAGATAATTTCAAAAATTGTTAATTGATAACATTTTTTGCTAATTTTTGCTTTACTATAATTTTACAATATTATACGCAAATTTTTTTTTTTTAATTCCATTTATTCACAAAAATTTTCTTAAATAATTTTTTATTTTCATGGTTTGGTGCTGTATTTTTCCTCATAAATCGCCACTGGGCACGTGAAAAAGACAAATACATAGATACAATTCCCCGAGATAAGGATGGACAAGGTTGCTAGCACTTGGATCGTCGGTTGCCTTTTCCCACCAACTACAAAAATAACATGTCGGCAGTATAAATGTTTCCCCATGGTTGACCAGTTTAACTTCTGGAGAGGCAATGTACTCCGATAAGATTATATGAATACCTGTTGAAAAGATCAAATTGAATTTAATAAAAAACTGTTGTATATATGTCTGAACGGTTGTATATATATCTAGACGGTTGTATATGTGTCTAGGCAGCAGTATATATGTCTAGGTGGAGGTATATGTGTCTAGGTAGTTGTATATATGTCTATGCTTCGTAGAGACCACGTTCAGTCAGACCTACACCGCCTCTTGTAAATTAGTTACCATACAATAAATCAACTTGCGTTCCTATTATAAAACTTGGAAGATATTTTAGTGCTAATTCGATAGGTTGAACAAAGGCTTTGTATTAAACTTTGTATGTATATAGAAATATTTTATTGATATATCAAAATTTGCTTTCGAATAAGATTTGGATTAGATGAGAGACAATAAAGATTAAAAGCAGACTTTTATTAAAATTCAATATTTATGGTGCAGAACTTCGTAATTAAGGGTCTTCTTACAAAATGTTCTAGTTTTCTCGAGGGCTCTTTTCTTTGTAAAAGTTCACACATACAAAGCTCTAAAAAAATGTTTTCCTTGTTTCAGAACTTTTACTAGCCGTGAGTCAGTCATTCGATTTCATTTCAAAAGCAAAGTTAAAAGCCTAAAAGTGTGGCTTGCGGGGGAAAACACGGCTGAAAAGCCGAAATAAATCTGAGATGAAATTTCACAAAGTCAGAATATTGTTAAGTTGAAGGTATCTCATAAATTGTATGCGTACCAAACAAACAAACACATGCAGTGGCAGATTCAGAATTTTTCAGTGGGTAGGTGGGTGTGATTTCAAAATTATTGTTAAGCTGGAGACCTTTTGTTGCTTATTTCCGCTAGATAATTTCAAGAATTGTTAATTGATAACATTTTTTGCTAATTTTTGCTTTACTATAATTTTACAATATTATACGCAAATTTTTTATTTTCATGGTTTGGTGCTGTATTTTCCCTCCTAAATCGCCACTGGGCACGTGAAAAAGACAAACACATAGGCACAATTCTCCGAGATAATTATCGACAAAGCTGTTTTCATTTGGATCGTCAGCTGCCCTTTCCCACCAACTACAAAAATAACATGACGGCAGTATAAATGTTTCCCCATGGTTGACCAGTTTAACTTCAGGAGAAGCATTGTACTCCGATATGACTATATGAATACCTGTTGAATAGATCAAATAGAATTTGAAAAAGAAACTGTGGTATATAACGTCTAAACGGTTGTATATATGTCTAAACGGTTGTATATAGGCGGTTGTATATGTGTCTAGGCGGTTGTATATATGTCTAGGTGGTTGTATATATGTCTATGCGGTTGTATATATGTGCTGTCTATATTGGTGCTAATGAATAAAGTTGAATTGAAAATGATCAAATCCATGCATACCTTTTTGTTAGTTTCGATGACTTTTTAAAACAGACAGATAAATTTATTCTTAATTATTGTGCCGTGCAAGAAGCTTTAAGGCCGAACGCTGTGATTGAAAGTAGAGATAGAGAATAGAGAATTTTTTTCAACTGAACTTGAAAATTTTACACAAAAATAAAAAGGAGAGGATTCATTAATATCCAGCTTAATTATTCTGTTTTGTTTGATTTAAAAAAAAATCAGCATTGAAACTAAATAGCAATAAGTAATTAAGTTTTGTAAAACTCTTTTAAATGATTACTTCTGAAAAATATTCATTTCTGAGAATTATTAAAGCGGAAATTTCACTAATAATATGAAGCAAGCTTTCTTTAGTTTGACACTACGAATTTAAACAAGTGCGTAAGATAGCATTTTTTATCAATAACAATTATTTTATTAATTATTTTCGTTATTCAATCAATCAATTAAGATGTTTTTTTATCACCATATTGGTTTGGTTTAAGTTTAACAGCCAGAAAACGTATTGTACATGTACGTGCTGGAATGTTTATAAAACTTGTGAGAGATTGAAATGTAGTTGAAAAGATATAATTATAATAAGAAACGAGTTCATATATGGCTATTATAGTAATGAATTAGAGAAGTTTTATAATCAGTTACGTTTCTGTTTATATATATATATATATATATATATATATATATATATATATATATATATAATGTTTAGAAAGATTTAAAGGTTTGAATACAATACTAAATTAAACATTTCCAGTAGATTTACATAAAAATACCACTACACATTCAGTCAAATTGTAACCGTGTAAGAAAAATGTCCATATGGTCAACTTTTTTCTCAGTAGTAGGAACATCGAACAATTGTATATTTTTCTATTTTAAATTTATTTGTTCATTTGTTTTTCTTCTAGTTGTAAATTTTTAACTTTAAAATTTACTAAATTTTTTAAAAGAAAAATCTGAATTCGCAAAAAGTTTTAAGTTTATAATTAGGAATGTTTTTTGTTGTTGATTGAACGTCAGACCAAAACATAGGAGAATCGCAATTTTCCATATTTATACACAATGACAAATAAAAAGAACTTGAACCTTTGGACAAAATTTTTCAGGGCTCTATCATAACTTGCGCCCACCTTTGTTTCATAAAATCATTTTTTACTAAGTTAATTGATCAAGCAAACTGTCAGTAACTATAAACTCTACGTTACAACACATTTGATATGACCTTGGTTTTACGTTTCTATCTTGCAAAATCATTTTCCAATTGATTAGATGAGATGAAGATAAGCTAATCCTGAGCTAATTTCTAATATGAGTTTTTTGGGGGGAATGAATGCTTTCCTTCAAATGAAAGGACATTCAAAATAGCCTAAGTGATGTTATGGAAAAATTGGAATTTGGAAAAATTTGGAAATTTGGAAAAATTGACTCCAAGTTAAAATTTGTCGTGTTTTGTTTATTTTAATAGTTTAGATAATTTTTTAAATATTAGTGGTGACATTGAAAGCTGTCCTTTTAAATTTTCTCAAAATTGTTTTCCTTCGTAGAGACGTTCAGAGTCAGACCTACACCGCCTCTTATAAATTAGTTACCATACAATAAATCAACTTGCGTTCCTATTATAAAACTATTATAAATCACTATTATTCCATGTGATTATCACCCTGCTGCTGCTGCTGAAAAACCTTGGCTTGGTTGAATGCTCTGTCGTCTTGGAGAACTTTTATCTGTGATACTTACTCATTCATACATAATTCATACTCGTTCATACAAATTCATTCATACATTTTCACTTAGAATGTTTAAAATGTTATTCATTGCAATAATAATTAATATATTTAAGTAAAAAATAATTCATTTCATTTTATTTTAACATTTACTTTTCTAATTTCGAAACAATTAAAAGGTGCTCAAGTATCTAGATCTATAAACTTACCATTGAAAATTTCACCTGAACCAAAAGTCCTTAACTTTTATTTCTTTGTTTTCATTCTATATATCAACTCATCTTAGTCGAGATAGGTCGAATTTTATTGCGATATTTTTACAATATTTTTCACTATTTGATAAATTTTGATTTTATTTCAATTAGGAGAGTGTTGAAAAAATAATTTTCGATATTTTTGAAGTTATTTTAAAACTATTTGGTCTTGAAAGTCAATGGTTATCTGCTTAGAGGTGGGCCAGTCTAACATTCAAATTCAATACATTCATCTTTCAAATTCACTCATTAATCTCCTACTAAGTGCTACTGGACCGCGTCCGGGAAATTATTTTTTACTTAATATTTTATTAATTTATTTGCCAAAAATATTTTTAAATTTCAAGTTTTCTAATTTTTTTATATTAATCTTACAAGCAGGTTTTGAACAGAAACAGTTTTAGTTGGATGAACATGTTCACCACCCTCAACGATTTCTGCCAAGCACAACACGAGTGAGATAAAAAAAATTAAAGAAAAAGCCAAATTCCTGAAATAATAGAGATAAAACACATCGTATTTAAAATATTTAATATTTTTTCATCTGCCATCAACCAACCAGATTGACAAAACAAAATTATTTGAAATTGTAGAGAATTTCTGTGATAAATAAAAATCTATAATTAGATCTTCCAATGTGACTGAATAAAGTTAATTTACCCAAAGCTGTTGCTTTTGCTGGATTTGATTTTAGAATTTGTTTAATTGAGTTGTGATCAGGGGTTGGTAGGTAGAAAGTAATAGTCAGAGTAGGCCATTTGTTTAATTAAATCATCATCTCTCACCCAAGTCTCAACCAATCAATAAAAATATAAATCTCAGCTTTGTATTCTTCACTAATCTAGTCAAATTAATAGGTTATTTATTTTTATTTTTTACTTGGTTAAATTAAATATTACCTTTTTTTTACCTTTTCCAATGACAAGCTATTTAGATATTTAGGAAGATATTTTAAATTTTTAGATTAAAAAAATTTAACTTGTTTCACACTTTGCAACTAAATAAATTTCTAATAAATAATGATAATAATTTTTTGTTTACAGGTGTATGAAAAGGTAAAGAAAACATAAGGCATCTCAAATATTAATTAGAAGTTTCTCCAAATATTCACATTATTAATTAATGTGTATAAGGAATTTTTAACTACTTCATCATCACATAGATCGAAACAAAACAACACCCACAGCATAAATCTTGTTAACGAACGTACTAAAGTAGAAAAAATTCAATCTAGCCAACTTCACTAACTCAGTTGTTTTGTTGTTCAATAATGTCTTCTGCAATGAAAGTTCGAAAGCCCGAGCCAGCTGAAATCGAGTACAAAGGAATGAAATTCTTAATCACCTACAGGCCCTCGGATGCCACGATGGATAAATTTGTTGAAGTGAGGTTTAGATTATTTATTAGATTGCAAGATGGTGTAATGGTTAAGGTGCCTGGTCATTCTGCTGAAGTGGCAGGATTCAAATGCAGAAAGATCCGTGCATATCACATGCAGGGATCTTTACGTCACGCATCACTGATGTGTGCATTCTTGTTTGTGTTGTTTGTATTTTTGAGAAATGTTGAGGAGAGAATTGTCAAATAGAATTATTATTATCATATCTCATATTATTCATTGATTTCTATAAATTTTTAATATTCAAATTATTTGTTTTTTGATTAATTTCAAGGTATTCTTAATTAGTTTATATATGTTGCATTGGTGTTGTTGTTTCTTGGAGTTTATAGTTTTTTTTTTATTGAGTTTTTGTTCTTGTGTTTCTGTCAAATTTTTGAATATTTATTGCTTAAATATTTAAAATATTTTATTTACAAAAGTTAAAAATTAGTGTTTTTGTTATTCACTATGTCAAATGGAGATCACCTGACAGTGAATAATTCATTCTAGCTGTTGGGAATTTTGAATGAGTGTCGTGAAATTTGGATGAGGCATTGCATAACATTTCATTGCGCAAATAAACAGGTATATACATATGCATGCCTGCATATAAATGTGTGTATGTGTGTGTTTGTTTGTGTGTGTGGGTTTGTTTGTGTGTGTGTGTGTGTCTGCTGGTGTGTGTTTGTGTTTTTTTTTATATTTCCCAAAATTTTCAACTAGTATTGCTTTCATTTCTATTGTATTTGGGTTAAGATAAGATAAAGCTTTTAGTTGTATTTTGATTGATGTGTATATGATGAGATGTTGTATTTTGTGGTACATGTATGTGTATATGTGTGTATATCTCTTTATGTGTGTGTGTGTGTGTGTGTGTGTGTGTGTGTGTGTGTGTGTGTGTGTGTGTGTGTGTGTGTGTGTGCGTATTTATATATGCAGATATAATGATTTATTTTACTTTTAAGGTGATATTGTTTTTCCATGGCAAGCAAAGGTGATTTTACACTTGATAAATGTTCCATGATTTTCATCATATACTATATAGATGTGTGTGTATTTTTGTTTGCCTGTGTGTATTTTTGTCTGTGTGTGTGTGTTTTTGTGCATGTGCGCGCGTGTGTGTTTTGTGTACAATGTTTAACATGTATGCATAAGCACAAATTTGTTTAGTGCAATTATGTACACATGTAAATATTATACAATGCTTATGTAAATAAATATAAACATTTATGTGGATTTGTTTGTATATGTTATGTATGTATGTATGTATATATATATATATATATATATATATATATATATATATATATATATATATGTGTGTGTGTGTGTGTGTGTGTGTGTGTGTGTGTGTGTGTGTGTGTGTGTGTGTGTGTGTGTGTGTGTGTGTGAGGGTGTGAGTATTCTAACTAACAGGCAGTTAGTAAATAAACAAATTTCTTCTTATCAATGAATGTATGCGCTCTTACTGAAATAACAATTTATACCCTCAACTCTAATAATTACAGTAAAGTACAGAATGGATAGTTATATATACAAATACATGGAAGGGTTTCTTCTTGCTTCTATTTAGGAAGTTTGTTATCTTTCATTTCATTTAAGTACCAAGAAAATAATATGTCTTTCTTTTAAAATGCAGTAGTGCATATATGTTCAAATATAACAAATATATAATTTTTCTCTTTCTTTTTAAGAATTTATTTTTCCCGTCTCAATTATCTCAATTACCTATGCTCTGAATTACACTAATGTTCATTTGCCAAGTTTGTCCTCTCACATAAATTAGAGATTTTATGAAAATGATAGGTTTTATCAAAGAGAAATTATCAATAATCATTTTTTTATAATTTGTTGATGTTTTATAGGCTTACAAAGTTACCTTGCTATTTAAATTCTCAGCTGATTATAAGGGGACAAAGATTATAACAACGAACACTTATTATAGAACTTGCTTCATATACCTTTCACTGAGTTTACATTTCTTATCTATTTTTAGTTTATTTTTTAATCTTGAACAAGTTAATTTCTAAATTTTATGTTATTCAATCATAAAATAATAATAATGGTAACGAAGGCAGTCTGCCTAGAGAATTGAAAAAAAGTTTGGTTAACATATTGTTCTTCCAGCTAAACTCCATTTATAACCTTGGAGCTGAGTACATCTCTCTTTCGGTATAGTACGAACAAACAAAATGAAATGCAAGGTCCGATAATTAAATCTCATTTGTTATTCAATTTTATTTCTTGAATGTAGTCACAAGTACAAAAATAAAAGACCTTAATTTTTTAAAACAAAACAAATGTTTCAAAAAAAGTAAAATGAAACGCGAGGTTTCAGCGATAGACTGCCTCAGCCGTAGTGGAAAGGACAAGCCGTTCATCTTCGAACGGGATATCCCTCCCTGTAGTCCCTCAACCGCACGACACTACTGCGACAGAGGGGGCAGGAAGTTTTCCTCAACAGCCACTCATATAAACAGGATGGATGGAGCATGTGAGTGCAGTTCAGCTCGTGCACAATGGTGTTTTCTTCGAAATTGTCAGTACAGATACAATACTCGTCGTATCGAAATCTGCCGGGAATGTAGTTCCATACATGTTTTCGTTTTTTGCCATAGATTGAAAGTAGGTATCGTAGGTTCTGACCTTTGCCCTCATTGTTTTTCTGAATGAAAGTAGGTATCGTAGGTACTGACCTTTGCTCTCATGACCCCCCACCAGGTAGAAGTACATTTTGCCATGTTTCGCTCTTCAATGTTGGTCTCCGTAGGATTTCATCAAAATATAATCCTGAGACGTTCTGAACAACATGTCCTGTTCGTCGGCTGTGAACGAGTGGATTCGTCTCAGCAATTCACTCTCTTTACTTGATGGAGTAGATTTTTCATTTCTTTAGAGAATCTCTTTCTGTTCGGTTCTCTTTCATTATTTTTACCAACGTTTTTGTACAATACATATCGTAATATGTATTGCATTTTTTTCACGCTTTCTTCCATTGTTTCTTTGATACTTTTTACAATATTTCCACTGTTTGACATTTATATCAGATGTTTGAAATTAAGTTGTTTTTCTGACTATCAAATTTGTCAAATGTTAGAAATTGTGTTGGAATATTACAGACTAGGGCTTTAACTTTAAATGAAAAATCGAACAAATATGTTTGTTCGTTATATAATATATGAACAAAGGTACAGGTCTTGAAAAAAGACGATAATTGACCAAACATAAAGTTAATATCTGTAATGGATTTTTTACTCAAAGTAGGCTTAATTTGAATAAAAACCGTGTAACAAATTAATTATGTGGTAAGTCCCTTGTAAAATAAACGACGTTTTTTATTAACCATTTTGCTAGGTGTGTGTGGTTTGCTTGTTTAGTAAGTTTTCTAGGAGCTTTGTCGGGCAGTAAATAATCTATCGCAATATCATTAGTTTGTGAAATATTTTTTTGCAAATCTCCTATTACGTAATTACCATTCAAATATTCAGATATTTATGCAAATATCCAGATATTTGCCAGTGTCACTCCAAAATTTCACAAAAACCATTGAATGAGAAGCGTGTAAAAATATTCCGTTACACAATCAACAAAAGAATTGATTCTAAAATAGAATCAAGCAAAGGTATTCACATATAGACACGATAGAGAATGTAATAAAATATAATTAATCTTAGCCAAAAACTCAATGTGTAAATTAACATTGCAACAGTTGGCCGATTGTGAAGTAACGTCTGAAGCGACTGGTCAATTTGTGGTGACTGGAACCTACGATAACACTATCATCATCATAATCACTACACCTCATCATAATCGCTACACATCATTGTTATCATCATCATCATCTCGAACGAAATGATATATGTAGTTATTTCTGTGATCCCAATAGCATTCAAGAAAGTTTTTCTTGCACCTTTATTAGCAAATTTACCTGAGTTAATTAATTAGTCAATTAATTATGCCTGGCTCTTGGATTTCGTGCATGTATGTACCTATGTTCTTATAAGTATGTATGTGTGCGTGTATGTATGTGTGTGTGGCTATCCTCCTTTTCCATTTAATAGCTTATGAATGTTGTTTGTACAGGTATAAAATAAGTATGTTTGTGTGTGTGTGTGAGTGTGTTTTTGTGATTTTAATTTAAGCATAATAGACTTCATAACAACGCAATGCATCCATGCACTTTTAATTATAAGCAAAACCAGCACAAACTTTTATTTTCAAATTTGTTCGTTTCAAGATTTGCATTAAGGCCAGATTTTTTTTTAAACAAATAAATATCTTATACATAAAGAATCTATGATATTTTATATTATTTTTTGTTTTCATTTCAGAATAACTATTTCAGAATAACTAACTACGCATTTAGTGTTTGTTTGCTTCATATCATTTCAGGAGCACACGAAACCATTTATCTATCTATCTATCTATCTATCTATCTATCTATCTATCTATCTATCTATCTATCTATCTATCTATCTATCTATCTATCTATCTATCTATCTATCTATCTATCTATCTATCTATCTATCTATCTATCTATCTATCTATCTATCTATATATCTATCTATCTATCTATCTATCTATCTATCTATCTATCTATCTATCTATCTATCTATCTATCTATCTATCTATCTATCTATCTATCTATCTATCTTTCTCTCTATCTATCTATCTATCTATCTATCTATCTATTTATCAATCCATCCATCCGTCTATCCATCCATCCATCCATCCATCCATCTATCTATCTATCCGCTAACAATCTTTTTTTTCAAATAGATAAAATATTCTACATGTGTGTCTGTCTTTATAAAATACATTGGTATACTCAGCAGAAATACAAATAAATGAATTAGTATGTGTTTGTGTGTGTTGTGTATGTGTGTGTGTGTATCTGCGCGTGTGTGCGTGCGTGTTTATGTACTTGATTATGCATGCATGTATGATGCAGAGTTAGGTATGAAATGAAGAGAGAAGTATTGAAATATTAAAAGAGATCAAGAAGCATAGGTGTGCCAGGTTAGTGAAAAAAATTGTTGAACTTGTTCAATCAAGAAGCATCTCTTTGTTTGTTTGTATATATGTATGTTAACTCCACACCCACATTTCTCCACACGCACACACGCGCGCGCTCACAGATTTATGTATATATTTTTGTATATCCCAAGAAAAGACATCACAAATTTAAGTGCATTTTCTATATATATATTTTTATTGCTATATTCATATGTAATTTTATTGTGCCTAAGGGAATATATTTTTGCTGTACATGTAAGTTTACATTGTATTGTTTGTGTGTATATGTTTGTATGTTTTGTATTTGTATTAGTGTGTATATGCTTTGTATGTTTTGCATGTGTATTAGTATGTATGTATGTATGTATGTATGTATGTATGTATGTATGTATGTATGTATGTATGTATGTATGTATGTATGTATGTATGTATGTATGTATGTATGTGCATGTATGTATGTAGTATGTTTGTATTTTTGTGAAATTCATTAAAGCGAAGTGGCTTATGAAGTTTTATTAATACATATGCATACAAAGATGTACTTAAGATTAAACTCAAGGCTTTTGGCTTTTTGTCATGTTTTATTAAAAATTTTTTTTGGCAAGCATTAGATTTGTTAGATATTTGTTTATGAATTGGTTTTTGTTCTTATTTGTATCTGTTGATAGGAATTTTCAACATCATTACAATTGCATCTTTCTTTATTTTTATTCTATAACTTATGTATACTTATCCGTAATTTGGCATTCTTATTCATTTTCTAAAGCTTTAATTCACGAAATGTATGTACCATTTTTTGTTACCTTTTTTTAAATTTTCATCAGGTAAGTTAGCATGAGTTTATTTTTTGATATATTCTTTACAAGAATCCGAGAAATGTTAAGTTTGATAGTAAATGTGAGGCATAAATACATACAATGGTTAAAAGGATGATATGATAAAGCAGAGAGTAAAAAGGAAAAATACAAAATAAAAGTAACAAACTTTGGAAAATTTACGTAGAAAAATACATTAAATCCTTATCCGAAAAATTGCTATTCATGATTATCTTACATATAATAATAATAATAATAATAATAATGAAAAAGTGGACCATATTTTTTCCTTCATTTAATACTTGAAGAGGCAAGCAAACTATTTCAAAGTGAGTAACAGTGTTCCTTAATGTATGACCTTTGTAAATACTCATGCATCTATGTATGGTTGGTTTATGTATTTGTGTATATATGTATGTATGTATGTATATATGTATGTATGTATGTATGTACGTATGTATGTATGTATGTATGTATGTATGTATGTATGTATGTATGTATGTATGTATGTATGTATGTATGTATGTATGAACCCATAATTGATTAGAACTATAGGGAAGTAATAATCATATCCGGGTTCAGCTTTAATCTGTGTTAAACGCTTCGCACAGACAGGTATTTTAACGCTCCATCCAAAATACAGAAAGAATTATATTTTTGAAGTAAATTAAAAAAGGATTGCTTTACATAACTCTTATCTAATGGGTCACCCGATACTTCTACAATCCTGCTACAGAGTTCATTCAGAAAACTCTGAGTCTGAGCATCGGTTGGACCAAAGGTCTCAATGCAGACTGGCTTTCTGCAAGAGCCGCATATTTTGAATTTTTAAAGTCTGCGGCTCTTAAGGCAGCGGCACCCGCCTCCTGTGAGGTAAGATTAATGTACCTTTCAGCCATGGTGTGAGGGAACGTAACATCCCAAGCAAGGTAACGCCCCTGCGCCCATGGCGAAATAGTATACCCATCGGGCCTGAGGCTACCTTCCTCCATAAGACCCGTGGGTTCTTTAATTGTGGGTATGTTTGCCCTCTGAAAGCACTTGACCAAAAAGTCGTTCATGGCCGAGTGTCGAGCCTGTCTACCAGGGCCCAATCGACACGAAAAACCATGGTAGCCCAAGGGTTCAACATTGGCCCCACATAAACAAACATACTCGGTTAAAATGGGTAAACCGAGTCTCAGTCCCAAACTGACACGAACACAAGAGTCGTCCAGCCTGGTACCACAGGCGGAATTTGGGACTGCCTTCAACCAAGATGATCCCAACTCACTTTTTACAGCCATTATCCTGGCTTTATCAAAATTTGATTGGTTCAAATCCAGCAGCTTAGCAACTGAGCTGTATGTATGTATGTATATATGTATGTATGTATGTATGTTAAAACCAAAATATGATGAGTGACACCGAACCGTCATCAAGTAACAAATGGATTAACACTTTGATTTGTCGTTAATTGCACATGTCGGCATTCAGTTGGATATTTTCAAGCACACAGACACGCAGGAACCGCTGCAACAAGCACGAAATGTGGTTAGTTGCGAAAAACAGTTCCCTGCTGTCGCCTGATCTGACGCTGATCATTTTGCATATTGCCTTAAGAAATTTAAGGGTGTTGGGGTCCATCGGGCCGAGAACCTCGATACATATTGGCAAAAACTACAGCTGACGACCCTAAAAATTATATGTAAAAACAAGTTAAAATCAATGAATTTTACAAAATTAACCAGAAAATTAAAACAATCCAGCCGGCTTTGAGTGTGAACAAACGATGTGATGTATGTATGTATGTAAGTATGAACCCATAATTGATTAGAACTATAAGGAAGTAATAATCGATAAATAATAAATAAACGCTTCACACAGCCATGGTATGGGGGAACGTAACATCCCATGCAAGGGAACGTCCCTGCGCCCATGATGAAAAGACCATGGTAGCCCAGGGGTTCATCCTTAGCCCCACATAAACAAACATACTCGGTTGTATGTATGTATGTACATACTCCATGTATGTATGTATGTATGTATGTATGTATGTATGTATGTATGTATGTTTGTGTTTGTATTTATGTGTTGTTGTTCCTTTGTTGCTAAGACCTCCTCCCTTAGACTTGTTAAGTTAGCCACACATTTGTCGATCTGTTGTTCTACTTTTTCGTCTTTTGCCGCCCTACTTTTGTTACCAAGCAGGAATATAATCCTTTTCTTTACCTCATTTACGTTAGTGATTTTTATCACCTCGTCTGCGGTAAATATCATATTATCCTCCATGGTTGTGATGATATTATTTAGGTGGTCAATCATTGTGGTTCTTATTTTTGTGTACGCCTGCTCCATAATCCCTTTCATCGTGTCCTCTAATTGTTTATCTTTGCCTGGTGGGTTTATCCTTTCTGTTGTTATCTCCAGGTTACGCTTTAGCGTTGTAGCACTATGCTGGGACCAATTCATCTTGTGAAATACCAACGTTTCGCCAGTTAGGCTTCATCAGGTGGTTGGTCAAATGAATGGAATAATGATATATACACACATAAATGCCGTAATTTTCTTGTAGAACTTTGTATCGGCTAGTTGGCTTTCTGCCTCTTTGGTGTATCTTTCTTTATCCATTACCACAAACACACTTCCCTTGTCGGCTTTTCGTAATACGATGGTGTCATTACTTTTTAGTTCAAATAATGCCTTCCTCTCTGTAGGGTGGATGTTTTTCAAATTCAATTGTAGGAATTCATCTTTGTTCTTTGATATGAATCTTTGTTTTAATCCGTCTATTTCATTAGTAGCTGCTATACAGTTATTGGATAACTTAAATTGTGGTGGAATTCATTTTGATTTAAAATATCTTCCGTAGTCCTGCAGATAGGGTAGTGTGTTTGTGTACGTGTGTGTGTGTGTGTATGTATGAGCGGAAGATGAGTTTTCATCCATGCGAAATTTATGTTGTTATTATTTGTTGGTAAACAAACAGTTCATACAGTAAAAATTTTAAAAATATTCTGTACATTCATTTCCTTAATGATTCGCTATTATTGCAGTTATAATTGTCATGTGCTGTTGTTATTGTATATTATTGTAATTAGAGTTGAGCCTAAACTTAGTTTATTTTTAGATTGATATAAATTTACACAAACTTCTATGCCTTACATTAGGAACAACCTTTTAGCTGTGTGTGTTTGTGCTTTTATATGTGTGTGCGCTTTTGTTTGCACATGAGTGTGAGTATGTGTATATGTGTATGTGTGTGTGTAGACGTCTGTGTTAAAATATGAGTTTCTGATTGCGAAATCTCTGTTTTAAATTATATTAGTTATTTTGTTTGTTTGTTTGTCTCTCCGTCTGTCTGTCTGTCTACTGCTCTTTTCGTGTTACAATATTTTGTGTTATATTTTTCATGCTTATAACTGACTACAATTGGATCACATAAATATCGTCGCTAGTGATATAATCATACCTGTTTGAAAAAATTTGTTGATGGTTTTGTAATATTTTTCCCCCAATAGAAACACGTTTAAAGTCTGTTTTTGTTATGTTGTTTGTTCCTCTCTTTCTCTCTCTCTCTCTCTCTCAATGTTTTGTGTTATATTTTTCATGCTTATAACTGACTACAATTGGATCACATAAATATCGTCGCTAGTGATATAATCATACCTGTTTGAAAAAATTTGTTGATTTTGTAATTTTTTTTAACCCAATAGAAACACGTTTTAAGTCTGTTTTTGTTATGTTGTTTGTTCCTCTCTCTCTCTCTCTCTCTCTCTCTCTCTCTATATATATATATATATATATATATATAAATATATATCTTCATTATTATAATATGTTAATTAACTTTATTACAGTTGATCTCTGTATAAGCCGATTATATATATATATCTTCATTATTATAATATGTTAATTAACTTTATTACAGTTGATCTCTGTATAAGCCGATTGTAATATGTTAATTAGCCTTATTGTTATTAATTTCTCAATACAGTTATTATAATATGTTAATTACCTTTATTACAGTTGATCTCTGAATAAGCCAATTGTAATATGTTAATTAGCCTTATTATAATTAATTTCTCCAGGAGTTGAAGAAGCACGGTGTCAAGGATGTTGTGAGGGTTTGCGAGCCTTCCTATGCCACTGATAAGTTAATGAAGGAGGGAATTACAGTTGTCGTTAGTTGTGATGATGACGATGATGGTGATGGTGATGGTGGCGACGATGATGGTGACGATGACGATGATGGTGGTGATGATGACGATGATTGTGGTGATGATGACGATGATGGTGATGAGGATGAAGATGACGATTTTGTAGAGAATCTGTAGTGATAATGATGACGTTGTTGTTTTTAGAGATGATAGTTAAAATAATGATATTGTTATCGTCGTCGACGATGATAATATGGTGATGTTGCAGGTGATTGTGGTGATAATAATGATTTATTTATATTTACCTACAATGAGGTGAACTGGTTCTTAAAATTTTTTGATGATATTGATAAAATTAAACGCGAATGATGATGTGGTACAGAGAAATTGATTGACAAACAAATAACAGTTGTGTTGGTGTTAGTATTGAATAGAAAAAAATTGAATTTTTGTCCATGATGAGGATGTTGATGAGGAAAGTAAGAAGTGTGATGAAGATGATGATGAAAAAGGATGGCTTAAGATAATAAATAAGATCATGATCTATGAAACATTTACGCATTCTAATATAAATGCCTCTAGAAAAAGTTATAACCGCGGGAATGATTGAATTGCGCTATATTATTTGTTATCCTAATTATTGTTATCTTTGCTATATTTGTAGTCTTTACCATTTATCATTACATAACAACAACGTCATCTTCGTCAACGTCATTAATGACGTCATCGTCGACGTCATCACCAACGTCATTATAATTGTTAGGACATGCCTTTTGATGACGGTACCTCCCCTCCTGACCCAGTCATCAAAGAGTGGTTTAGGTTTGTGGTGATGATGATGAAGATGATGCTGCTGGTGGTGATGATTATTATTACGATGATGATGATAATGATAAAAAATATTATTATTATTATTTTTATATCATTAGACAACAATCTGATGATGATGATGGCGATGATGATGATGAAGATAATCATGATGGTGATGGTGAGGATTATGATGATGATGATGATGATGATGATGATGGCAGGCTCTTGAAGGAACGCTTTCATGACAACCAATGCACCTGCATCGCTGTACACTGCATCGCTGGGCTAGGAAGGTCGGTGTTGATGATGATGATGGTGGTGGTGATGATGATGACGATGTTGGTGATGATGGTGGTAGAAGTAGCGATTATGCCGGTGATTAAGATTTTTTTAGTTTGAATTGAATTTGATATGAGTTTGAATTTGTTTGATGTGAGCTAGAATTTCGTTTGATGATGATGATGACGATGACGATGATTGTGATTGTTGTAGACAGTTATAATTATTATTAGTATGGATTTTCATTAGAATTATTTATTATTAATATTAATAATTATTGTTATAATTAATTATTTTAATAATTATAGGGCGCCAGTACTTGTAGCTTTGGCCTTGATTGAGCTTGGGATGAAGTATGAAGATGCCGTTGCATTGATAAGAGAGTATGTATTATCATCTAATTATCTTAATTATGATAATTACGTTGCAGTTAACAGCTCATTATAATAATTTATTTGAATTTGATTGACAGGAGAAGGCGAGGGC